AGGAGCAGAGGGCCCTGGGACCATCAATGGAGAAGAGCGGAGAGCAGGACCCTACCCAGAGAAGCAGTGATGCCTGAGATGGAGGCAGAGACGATGACGTGGAGAGATGGAGTGGCTGGGGACTTGAGATCCAGAGAGGGAAAGGGGCTGTGTGCTGATGACCCAGGGGGTGTGGGGGTCAGGCTTGCAGGGTGTACCCTTTGGTTGGTTGATGATGCATGGACAGGATTGTAACTATAGCAATGAAATGAAATATGATAGGATGAATGTAAAACTAATGGTCCCCCATGTAAACTATCACATAATTCATAATAAAACATTTATTATTTTTTTTTAAAAAAAGGACCAATCCTTGGAGAAGGACATCATGCTTGAGAAAGTGGAAGGTCAATGAAAAAGAGGAAGACCACCCCAACCCCCCAACAAGATTAACTGACGCAGTGGCATCAACAATGGGCTCCACAGAACAATAATTGTGAGGTTGGCCCAGGACCAGGCAGTATTTCATTCTGTTGTGCATAAGGTCACTATGAGTTGGAACTGACTGGACAGCACCTAACAGCAACAGTCGACGGCCTCTGAAAATGTGAGACAAAAAAGGCCTGGTTTTTTAAAGACACCAGTGGGGCCACTTCTATTATAGCAGCACTAGATATGTAAGACAGTGGGCGTGGTGTCAAACCAGCCCAGTCTTGTCCTAATCACAAATGCAATCTCTCCTCAGCCGAAACTTGCTGATGAAAGACCGCCCCTAGGACAGAAAGGAGAGAGATTGGTCTAGGAGGTTGCTGTTCCCAAAGCATAACTGAAAAGTTCTCATTCACTTTGCCACGGCCTCAGGACGCAGTCATGATGAGGAGAGGCTTCCAGATGGCAGCAAGACTAGGCCACCACAGAGCCCTGCTCGGTGCCCACCGAATCCTGCCCAGACACCACCCTGCTTCAGCTTTTGGATCCTCCACGGATGTCCTGGTGAGTGAGTTACCAGTTCAGCCAGACTGGCAGCTGGAGGAGCACCCTAAATCTCCTTTATCCAGCTCAAGTCAGGTGGGTGGGCAGTGTGCTGGGGAGCTACTTAATTTGGTAAACGGAGTCCCAAATCACCCAGGCTGAAGACTAAAACCACCAGTACACTTAGGTCCCAATCTGAGTCTTATGTGACAACAAACAAGGCACTTTCCCCCTCTGGCACTCAGGTTGCTGTGGCTAAATTGAGATGTCCCTAGACAGAGGCATCCCCAGGATAGAATTCAGATGAGTCTCCTCTGTCTGTGGTGTTGGAAAACAACTCACTCATAGCCTGCAGTTGTGACTGGAGCATGAGCAGTCGATAGAACACAGGCTCCCTTCATCTCACAGGTCCCTGGCCTCAGCTCTGGTACCACACCTCTGAGAAGGCCCAGACATGTTCAAAGGAGCTGCCCTGCCCAGGAACAAAGCCAGAGTCGATCCTGAGGGTAGGGGGTTGTAACAGTAACCCTCTCCAACTGTGGTGCATCCCCTAGGGTAGACAGTGTCTGAGTACGGACTTCTGTCTGACTGTTCTTATACTCACAATCTTGGCAATCTTTGCCATCATTTCTTCAGTTTTCTTACTTGGCATAAACCAAACACCAAACCCACTGTCATAGAATTGGTTCTGACTCACAGTGTTCCTACAGGATAGAGTGGAACTGTCCCATAGGGTTTCCAAGTCTGTCATTGTGTGGCGCTGTGGGTTAATGTACCAGATTGCAAAGCCGTTTGAACTGCAAGGTCAGTGGTTCAAGCTCACCAGCTGCTCTTTGGAAAACCTATACAGGGTCGCTATGGGTTGGAATCAATTCGACGGCACTTGACAACAGCAATCTTTACAAAGCATACTGCCACATACTTCTTCTGTGAAGTGGCTAGTGAGTTCCAACTGCTGAGCTCCTCATTTGCATGTTGTTGTTAAGTGGGTCTGAACTGCCAACCTTGTGGTTAGCAGTCCTGTGCTTCTACTACAGCACCACACCAAGACTTCATCTGCATAGTAGAGGTAATGCCAGCAGTTTGCAGCATCAAAGAGTTGATACCACAACAAGTTCACATCAAGCTGATTCCGACTTTTGGCAACCCCACTTATATCCAAGTACAGCTGTGCTCCATAAGGTTTTCAATGGCTGAGTTTTCTGAAGTAGACCAACAGGACTATCTTCTGAAGTGTCTCTGGGTAGACTCTGATCTCTAGCTTTCCAGACAGCAGCTGAACACACTTAACCATTTACACCAACCACGAACTCCAACAGATTTTTCAACAACTGAAACTGTTGGCCTTTCCCTTCTTTAACCCTTTAGGATCCCCATGCCTAGTCACCCATAGGGGTCTCCAGCCCTCTGCAAGGAAGATGGACCCTGTCCCTCAGCTAACATTCTGGGGGTTGGGTTGTAAATATTTGAGGGAGGAGAAAGCCTTGTCTTTTCCCAAGAAGCAACTGGTAGATTCTAACTGCTGAGCTCGCAGTTAGCCACCCAACTCATAACCCGCTATGGTATCTGGGCTTCTTAGGAAGCTATCTAGTCCCCCTGACTTTCCTGCCCAGGTCTCCAGATTCTGTCCAAAGAAGACAGACTTCAAGGATTTTGCCCTCCCCAATGCTAGCTGGTGTCCAGACATGCTAAGCACGTACCAGGAATTTCTAGAGAAGACGAAGGCCAACGGCTGGATCAAGCTGCCCTCCTTCAAGTCCAACAGAGAGCACATCCAGGGGCTTAAGCTTCCGTTTGGGTTAGAAGTCACCTCCGGTAAGGCCAAGCCTGAGAATGTCCATCAACACATGCCCCAACCACACAGACTGGCAGGACCCTGTCTGCCCCTAGCCCAGTCAGTTCAACCAGCCCTTCTTTTTCCAGCAGAGTCACCTTGTGTTCAGCCTCTAGAAGGAAATTCACAAACCCCTTCTAGTTCTCAGCCTGCAAGTTCTTCCTCAGTCTGACTCCACCAGTCCTGCTGCAGCTCGGGGCAGGTGGGAAAGTGCTCTATTGGGTCTCTGGTTGCCTTCCTCTCAATTCAAATAAGTGCATTCTAAAAGGGCCCTGCCTTTCTCCCAGGCCTGTGTGTCCCCAGCTTCACTCCCTTACGACTTCTTACCTGTTTTTCTTGCCTTATTTTCAAACCTTGTTCCATTCCTCCTCCCCAAGATCATAAAAACCTTTGGAATTCCTTTTCCGCTCCAGGACTCTCACACCATGCAGGCTCTGCTAAGCCCAAAGCAGCACTCTGGAAACACCCACTGGACCAGATAGCTTCCGCCTTTGCCTTTCTTAGCATGTGCCTGCTTGTGTGTGCCTGCTTGCATGTGTGTGTATGTGCATGTGTGTATGTGCACATGTATGTCTGCATGTACACAGACTACCTGAGGGTTTACAGCTGGGGCAAGCACCAAAATGTATACTTTTTAAAAAACAGTTCATTTCCAAAAGAGGATTGACATAGTTATTGCAACTCTCTTGTGTGTGTGTTTTGGTGGTGGGATGGGGACCAGAACTTTGGTGGACTTTTCTGTATTTATTTCTCTGTTGATTTTCTTTTTAATTATATGTGAACTACTTGAATTACGTTTTAAACATTCAGTGCTTAAGGCCACTTACAGTAGACCTGGTCACGATCCTGTGTCTGCCTTCAACTAGGGAACTTCCTGAGTATTTCTCTCCAAGACCGAGAGCTTCCTGAAGACAAGGGTTGTATCCACTGATTCACTCTCCTTGACCCCATATCCAAGGCAGGGCTCATCCTGGGGAGCTGAATGGCTGGTCCTGCATCCTGAAGAGGCCCCACACCCGCCATACCCTCCCTCCTCCATCTTTCCCCAGACAAAAAAGACTGGCGCATTTTCACCAGGTGCATCCAAGTGGAAGGACAAGGATATGAGTATGTCATCTTTTTCCACCCGTCCCAGAAAAAGTCCGTCTGTCTTTTCCAACCAGGCCCCTACTTGGAAGGAGCCCCAGGGTAAGGCCATAGGTCCTTGGCTACCTTCTGGGCTTGGCTCAGCAGGGTTGGTGGGCACTCTCCAAGCCCCGAAGTCTGCACCCCTCTTTGAGGAGATGAGTAGGGGATGGGGGACACACAGGGTTCAGTCTCACATTGCCTCAAAGGAACATCCTGGGTCATCTGGACCATTCCCCATTATACAGATAAGGGAAAGCCTCCTTACTGAAATCTCAGAATTTTCCAGCAATAAAGGAGCTTAAAGACCACTTTGAGAAGAAAGCAAGATCTGGACTCCAGAAAGCACAGCTTCTAGTCCTGCTCTCCCACTGCTGGCCCTGAGACTCTAAGCAAGCAATTTCATTTCTGCCCCTGAGTCTCTTTACCTGAAACTGGAGCAATAATATCTACCTACCAGGGTGGCTGGAGTCCTGGTGTGGCGCTGTGGATTAATGTGCCAGACTGCAAAGCCATTTGAACTGCAATGTCAGCAGTTCAAGCTCACCAGCTGCTCCTCAGAAACCCTATACAGGGTCGTTACGGGTCAGAATCGACTCAACAGCACTTAACAACAACAATAACCAGGGTGGCTGAGAGATGCAATGTTCTGGGCTCTGTGTACATGCTCATGAACTGTCAAGGAGCACAGAAACAAGGTAACTTGCCCAAGGCAGCACAGCAATCCAAGTTAGATCTAGGACTTGAATCCAAAAGTTGAGACTTCAAGTCCATTGCTTTCTCTGCTGCCTCCAAACTTGGAATGAACCTAAGTAAGAACCCAGAGTGGATATAATACAACAATAAGGGAAATCAGCATAGGATCGCTATGTGTTGGAATTGACTCAGTGGTACCTAACAATCACAAGGGAAATCAGACTGGCCTTGGGTTCCTTTGCCTAAAGCCACTGGACCACCAAGTGCTTGGTTGTCTCTCTTCTTCTCCATCCCTGCTTCTGATTCAGGCAACCACAAAGGGCAGATTTTCTGGAATTCCTACAAGGGGAAGGGATGAGAGGCAGGAGTAGTGTGAGAATCCCAAGGCCTGAGAGGGACTCAGTTGCAGTTAAGCAGAACCCAAAATGCTGAATGCTAAACAGAAGAAGGAGCTCTGGTAGCATAGTGTTTATGAATTGGGCTGCGAACCACAAGGTCAGCAACTCGAAACTACCAGCAGTTCCGCGGGAGAGAGATGAGGCTTTCTGCTCCCATAAAGATTCAAAGCCTTGGAAACCCTGTACAGGTTGCTAGGAGTTGGAGCTGACTGCACGGCATATAATCAAACAGAAGTGAGGAATCCCCGGGTGGCACATATGGTTAAGTACTATTACTAGCTGAAAGGCTGGTGATTGGAATCTACTCAGAGGTACTACAGGAGGCAAGCCAAGTCATCTGTCTAAAAACCTCTCTATGGAGCACAGTTCTACTCCACTCATGGGGGGTTGCCATGAAGCAGAATCAACTCCACAGCAACCAACAGCCACAAAGTACTTGTAGATATCAGCCTCTCTGCTGGTCATAAATTCAGACAGCTTGGCCATCCCAAAGGCCATCCACAGGGATACTCTTCTCCTGACTAGTGCTATAGACCACAAGGCCCCTCCTTTCTGAAGAGGGAAACCCAAAGGAGGCAGGAATGGGGGAGAAGTGAGTGATTCATTTAAGGTTTCATGAAAGTGGGGTAGAAGAGGACCATCCAAGACTGAGTGGGGTCCAGAGAAGAGAGTAGGATCCACAAAGCCCCTAAGCAATGTGGGAGTTACTCAACAGTCAGAAGTCACCTGTAGAATCCATTAACCTGCCAATGAATCCCTGTCTGACCAGTGAGGTCCAGGAGGGAAGAGCAGGCCTAGGGTTTGCTGCCTTTCCCTCTTGCAAGCAATTTTGGGGGCAGGGAAGGGAGTGCCTTGAAGTGTGCATGAGGCTTTGTGAGCATTAGTTCATTTAATCCCATGACATAGGAATTATCTTTATTCACAATTAATAATGGAAAAATTAAGGCCCAGAAAGCTTAGTGTCTTAGGCTGGGTTCCCTAGAAGAGAAAAACCAGAGACATACATATATATAAATCTATAGATCTACTTCCACAGATGGTTCACAAAGATGCAGAGGCAGGCAAGTCCCAAATCTTTGAGTCAGGGGTCAGCCTGAAGGCTGCTCCTGGCCCACATGGTATCAGAAACTGAAAATACCAAAATTGGCAGGCTGCTGGCTCATGTCCCAAGAGCCAGAGGTCAGAGGATGATGAGTCAGATGCAGGATCCAGCAGGTTTGATTGACCTTTGCCAGAATGCCTATATACAAGGGGACTCCAAAAAGTTTGTCAAAAAATTCCATTTTTTTTTTTTTTAAGTTTTTGTTGTGGATTGCATGAAAGTTTACAGGGCAGATCATCATTTTACATTCAATAAATCATACACCTTGTTTCATTACAATGATTATAATCCCCTCCATGTACCATCAGTT